TACAATCCAGCAATCCAGCAACAACTACAGTAAGCCAACAGGACACAAATATGTCAACATACTTTTGTAACAAAAGTGTAACCCTAAGGGTTGTTCATTAAAGGTTTTAGTACCATGATATTTGAACTTATAAGTTTTCTGGACTTTTGTAGATATAACATAGGATACTTTGGCTGTTTTTGAGATGTAAATACTAAAAATGAATATTGTACAGTACTGAAATACATATATAGCAAAAATGAAGAGACAAATATAAGGCTACTTTTTGCTTAACCCATTCGCCACGCATGGCAAGAATAGATGCCATACCCACTTTGATACACGTTTATTTATTGTATTTACACATAGATAGCTCTATAAGTTCTTAATCACCAAATAGCCAGTTATCACGAACTACCTATTTCACCTGTTTACCCTTTTCCTTCACTTTAGGAAAGTTTTTTTTAAATCATTTCATTGTCCAAAATATTCTAATGACAATTCAATAATCATAACATCAATAACAATAATAACAGTATTGAAAGCAATAGTATTAGTTTTCCCGCCAATTCAATGAATGGGAAAATCAGGGTCGGTAACTAGGGCCTACTGATAGACTCCTTGCCGGCTGAGCACATGTGGAGCCATCTGTAGGTAACAAAATTCACCAAAAAGTACAGGAGACAGAACATAAATCTGTGGCAAATGGGTTAATATCATGATTCTCCTGTATCAAAGAATACAGGAATTAATGAGAAAATAAAATTTAAAGATGCTAATTTTTTGTTAGCTCAATGAAATGTCAACTTAATGAAAAATTGAGTTGAGTAATGCATACAATTTCAGTATAGATATGCATATATTATGGAGGATAAAACAAATTCAGATTCTTTACATTACATGTAATTTTACATAATATATCCAATTATTCATTCTCACATGTTCACTCATTTCTCTACATATATGCCACATTTTTTCCATTGTACATTATGAGATTTCATTCACTTTAATTTTATTTCATAAATTTATCGGCATTTTCTGCCAAAACTTGTGCAGACGTTTTGGCATCAATGAACAAATCAGCAGCCTCCCTAACATCATCAGCAGTCACAGCTTCATTTCCATTCTGTTGGGCCATCACATTGGAGGGGGTAAGCAGTCTCACAGCATATCTGCAATTACAAATACATAATAAAATATTAAAATGTGGTCATACATAAAAGCATATTGCTGATCTTCCTCAAGGAAAGTGTAAAGATGATATAGGAATAACTGAAGTTTAATAACTGAAATTTAATATTACTGTTAGACCCCCCTTTCTAGTATAACTACTTAAGCGGAGCTGTCATCCCAGGACAAACACACTGGGATAGATAACTGTCATCCAGGGATCGAGTCACTCATGTTTGTAGTATGAGATATCTGAAAATCCATCCAAGTCAAATGGGCTATACAGTGGGAATGTGGGAAAGGAAGAGAGGGTAGGTCTAAACAGGCCTATAGCAGTCATAACAAACATACCCCCTGCCTCTTCTCCTACCAGCCTCAAGTTCAACATTGTCAATCTAAAATCCACTTGCCACAAGCTATTTGCCCTTTATTTACCCTTTAGTCGCAGATGGCATGATATCATACAATGGCTGTAGTGGACTAATTTGCAGATGGCACCGCATTATGACATAACCCGTGCCGCCAGCTCACTGGACAAAGCCTGTCTTTTTCCGATAGTAGTGACATCATTCGCTTGGTGTCACTATTAGAAATAGGCATTTTTTTTCACTTTTTCTTTTCTTTTTTTTTAATGAAATGCAAGTATAAGCTATAGATGCCTAAGTAGTGTCTGAAGTACCAAGCAAGTCTGGTGCAAATGGGGGAAACTGCCAATGTGTACCAACAGCTCACATTACTGGCCATTAACCAAATATTAATTCTACAATTGATGTGTTTAACAACTAGAATTTTGTTATTGTGCAGGTTTCTAATAAGATTTATCAAATGATAAGCAGATCTAGAATTCTGTTTTGCAGTTTTGCTTTTTAGTGAGATTATCAAATGAAAAATGAATCATCTGGTTTTATGAAAAAAAGATAATTTTGTAAGTTGCACATTCTAAACCATAATACTCTATTTTATGATAATATTTACTCTTTATGGATGATGTAAAAGGTCTGGAATTTCATATGTGTGTGTAAAACAATCCACTTGGTAATTTGAATGGATATTTGTGGAGCAAACCTTTCTAGCTGGATATTCTACTTTTCAGAAGACTTACTAATGAACAAAGCTTCTTTTATGGGGTCAAATTAGAGTCCTCCTTCATATACCTTTCATATATGGTCAAACTTCCCCTACTAAATTATTCAAAAACTGTCTTACCTTAAGGAAGCTCTTTCTGCAAGCGAACTGAGCTCTAACAAAGCCTCATTGTCTATCTTGATTCCTTCAATCTGAGCTCGAATCTTAATGATCTGTGTAACCTCTTCCTGTCCATAAGGCTTCATCCTCACAATTATAAGGCGATCCAGTAAGTCCCGGGGGATGCCATGAGGAGATACTATGTCTTCTGTTCCCCTGTAATTTTGTAATAGATAAAACAGAATTAAACACTTAAAGAGAAAGAACTTAAGACTCTAATGAAAAAGGAAAAAACATTTGCTTTGAAATCTATTGTTCAATAAGTACAGTGAATATACCATACCAATCCATAAACCATATCAACACACTTGGCTGCTTTAAAGTTACAAACACATTAATCATCAAAAGATAACATGGGTGTAGTCAAGGTGCAAGTGTCAACCAACCTAACCCTACACTTACTTGATGATGCATCGGCCTCTATTTGTGGCGAAGATGACAATGGGTGCTATCTTGATTCCTTCAATCTGAGCTCGAATCTTAATGATCTGTGTAACCTCTTCCTGTCCATAAGGCTTCATCCTCACAATTATAAGGCGATCCAGTAAGTCCCGGGGGATGCCATGAGGAGATACTATGTCTTCTGTTCCCCTGTAATTTTGTAATAGATAAAACAGAATTAAACACTTAAAGAGAAAGAACTTAAGACTCTAATGAAAAAGGAAAAAACATTTGCTTTGAAATCTATTGTTCAATAAGTACAGTGAATATACCATACCAATCCATAAACCATATCAACACACTTGGCTGCTTTAAAGTTACAAACACATTAATCATCAAAAGATAACATGGGTGTAGTCAAGGTGCAAGTGTCAACCAACCTAACCCTACACTTACTTGATGATGCATCGGCCTCTATTTGTGGCGAAGATGACAATGGGTGCTATTCTTGATTCAAGTGCTCGGTGAAGGAAGGTGAAACATTCGATATCAAGCATATGAACTTCATCAATAAACAGAACACCTGGGACCAGCTCAGCAATACCTTGATCAATGTATTTGTCTACCACTTTGTTAATCTCCAAGCGCAACTTTTCTGTCAGGTAAGGGAAGAAAAGGTAACATTATGTATATGTACAGGAACACATAGAAAAAATTCAGATTACAAATCATTCATTACAATCTTTTACTAAGGTTACACTGACAATGTGAGGATGAATGAGTATCAATTTTACCAATGAAATGATGTCATTTGAAAACCAATTAGAGAACTTGACATATCACAACTGACATTTGGCCGAAAAAAATCAAAGGTTAAAGGTCGTCATATAGGTTTCTCCTCTTCCCTCTCTGCTTAAAATAGACAGGTAACATTTTCATGACCTTTACCTGTGATCTCAGTCTTCTTTGGCTTCATGAGTTGTGACATCATAGAGAGGATGTCTTGGCCCCCTTGAGGTTGAGCATTGGCCACATCCAGGTCATGGAGTGTGACATCCTGAATTACTTCCTTCTTCTTGTGAACATCACCTTTAGGCAGTGGGACATATTCCTCAGCCTTAAAAAAACATAAGCTTTGTTTAAGTCATAGAATAGTGAAATTAAAAGCAATTCCAATAACATTTTTCATTCACTTTTGGTTTTAGTAAAAAAAAGGCCCAATCATAAACAAAGCATAGTAAAACTTGGCTGAACATTTATCCTTACCTCCAAATCAAACTCAGTTGCATATGTGTCTGATCTTCCTTGTCTCTTAACTGCCCCAGAATTGGCTTCCACATAAATGACGTCTCCAACTTCAACTCGTTCTTTCTGTAGCGTCTCATATATACTGGGATCCAATTTCAATTGTTTTGTTCCCTTTGCTGTTCTCAAGCCAATGATCACATGACTCACAGTTTTCCCAAACCCTGAAATAGACATTGAATTTTAACCTTATCTTTTTTCTACCTTCAAGATTAAAAAATTCATTTCTTCAATAATTTTTCTTATACTAGCTGCACATTACTATAAGAGTTTTAACCTCTTACAGCCAGGCACCCCTATAGCCATCATGAAGAAGAAAAGAAGAAGAAGAAGAAAAAAAAAAACCTCTTTATTTATGAGTACATGAAGTACAGCGAGTCTAGCGGGAGGTTTTGTTATATGTAGTAGACTCCCAGGCCAAAAGGCCAGACAGTTGCCAGAAGTTGTTGGAATGAATGACATCCAGAGATTTCTGGTACCATCATTGTACGGTTAATATATCTAATCTTACATATATCCACAGTCACCATCAAAACAAGAAAATAACAAAAGAATCATTCATACCTCCCATAGGGTTTTCAGTTTCAACAGGTGTCAGTTCTGTTACTTCTCCTTCATAAACTTCTTTGACTTCCTTGATTCGAAGCCCTATAGCCCTGCGGAAGTTCTCCATCAGCACCTCAGTCTTCTTGATCTCTGAACTGTAAACCTCTGATCCCACCATGGGGCAGAAAGGTACCTGTCAAATGATTTACTGCATGACTTCACCAGACTGGCGTAATTTTAATACAAGGAACAAATTAAATTTATCATTGCATAAATTGATTTTGATCGATTGTTGTTCACAGTACTAATGTACTGAGAATGGTGAGTGACAAGCAATAGATTTCATGAAACTTCTCAGAAAATAAAATAAATAA